AAGTATATTATCGATGGCAACTGTACAACACCTGTTGGAAAGGTAGGAACGAATCCATTCAAGGAAAGTTGAATGGAAACCTAAACGCGATAACTTATTGATCAAAACCTTGTGCGAAACTCTATCAAACGCCTTTGAAAAGTCTGTGTATACTGCGTCAACTTGGAGACCCGTCTGCAACGCAGCAACACAATCCTCCATGAAAATAGCAAGGTTAGTAACAGTTGACCTGCCACTTACAAAGCCGTGCTGATAAGGGCTGATCAAACTTTTAACTACAAAATTAAGCCTCTGTTTCACAACCGACTCAAAAACTTTTGGAACAGTAGCCAACTTTGATATAGGCCTATAGTTCGAAACATCATTCTTTTTGCCACTTTTATAAATTGGCGTAATATAAGCTTTTTTCCACTCATCAATAAAATGCCCGGCCGAAAGAGATGTGTTGAACAGGATTGTTAGTGGCTGGATTGTTAGTGGAAGGACACCGTTTGAGCATAGCACTTGAAAGGCCATCGGAATCCAATTTAAAGGAGTGCTTTAATGAAAATATGGCTTCTTCCACGTCACTATCAGACACAAGTAGTGCACCAAAGTTAAGGGCAGAATATGAAAAAGGGTAATTTTCAAAAACAATATCAGTATCAGAGCCACAATTAGAGGAAAAAAATTCTGCAAAGAGATTGGCTACCTCGACGGGAGTATTAGCCTGCTTATCATTAAAGAAGACTGAAAACGGCATACTTGATTTGGTATTCTTGAATTTTATAAAACTCCAAAATGCTTTGGGGTTATTTTTGATATTAACTTCATTTTTCCTAGTAAACCTATTATAAAGAATCTTGTCTAAAGAATTAAACCTCTTAAGGCAGTACTGATATTTTACCAAGATAGATTGGCGCCTGATTGCTTTAAAACTTTTAAAAAGCCTACTTTTGCGATTTTTAGGTCGCTTGAGCTCCTTATTGTACCAAGGTAACCTGTACGTCTTCTTTGTAACAGTTTGTACGAATTCTATACGCGCATCATATACACAGCTTTTAAAAACTTGATATGCAGCGTAAACTACCATATTATTCAATGTTCCCAATCAAATTCTTGCAGACGGTTATTCAGAAGGTCAAAATTGCATGAACTAAAATTAAAAATTGATCGGCTTCTCTCACGAGGAACAGTAGCCTAGACATAACATTGAATTTCAACTTCTATGGGAGTATGATTAGTATTTGCATGTGTTATTGGGGTTGGACATTCGAATACCCAATAACTTACATTATTAATGATAAAGATAAGATCTAAAATACGCTTAAGTTTGTTTACAATACCATTAATTTGTAGTAGACCAATACTTAAGAAGCTATCACTTGCGTATATCTCGCTGTCTGTAGTAGCGTTGACTGGGGTGAAAGACGAGGAGTTATTAAAGCTTTTCCAAGAGACTGTACTCAAATTAAAATCACCAAGCACACAGAGGTGATGATCGCCAATCCCAGAACTGAGATGCAAGATATTGTCAACATGAGCCTTATATAAGTCGTTGCAACTATTCGGCGGAATGTAAGAGGCACATACAAAGATATGTTCAGAGGAACACCGCACCTTCACGCAGAGTTGATCGAGAATCAAATCCTTATTTTGAAGTTGGACTAGTGTCGTGGAAAATCTACGCTGAACTGCAATCAGTACTCCTCCACCTCTGGACAGCCCAGACCTGTTTTCATCACGGTCCTTTCGATAAACATTATATAACTCAGGATCGAAGAATTCTGAGTCAAGAAAATTAGGTGTTAACCAGCTCTCAACGATGACAAAAATTCAAACTCCAGATGGGAGCTTAATCTGCGGACTATATCAGCTTTTGTTCTCATTCCGGAAACATTTTGGAAGTATATCTTGATTTGACTAAGTGCAGCCCCACTAGTACTATCACCTGGCTTACCATGAACAATTAATTTATCACGGGTATTTTTTGCTGAAGACGCCGAAAAGGGGATGGAAACGTCTTTTACAATATCCACCACAAGGCACACCTGTGCAACCAGTCCGTGGAAAGGCTTTATCACATTTTCCACAAAAATCCTCCATAATAAAAACGAAAGAAAAGCAAATGGAAATAGCAGCAAAAAACACGTCCAAACACAACGGCAGATCAGTTAGGTGAATATAGGTCGACCCCGTTGGCAAATGGCTTATCAGCCGCCGAGCTTTTAATGGGTAGACAAATACGCACCACCTTGCCGATTGTTGATGAACTGCTTCGACCGAACTTTGATCTGAAAGCTACGATGACGAAAGAGTAAGAATTATAAACAAAGCAAGCCTTAAACTACAACAGAAGGCATGGCATAATACACAGAGAACCGTTTACTGAAGGCGACGTTGTTCGGATTCGGGATTTGAGTCTATGGGGAAAAATAGTAAAATCTGCGGATACCCCAAGGTCATACATAGTTTCCACAGATAGAGGAGAGTTTCGTCGAACGTCTTTTCATCTTACTCCCACAGGAAGGAAGGAGATACCCTATGTTCCCGGCGAAGTTCAAGATGTGCAAATGACTACGCCTGCACCACCCCCAGGTTCTCCGCGCCCGGACTCGAAAGCGGCAACTGCGGAGGTAGTATCAAAAGGCGACAAGGCCCCAAGCATCCCTCGATATGTAACAACAACAAAATCAGGGCGAATAATAAAGCAACCTGATAGGTACAAGCCGAATGATTGGAACTTTCTTTACCCATATTAGATTTAATTATATTTCTTCATATGTATGCGTAACACTGAATTATTGAATATATGTAAAATTAACAAAGCGCTATTACATATGCACATACAGTGACGGGCAAAACTGTAACATGGTGTAACACTTTTTACTTCAGCCATCGCTATCTTTCCAAGTTCTAACGACTTCCATACTCTTGTTGTATATTCTTGTTGGTACATCCCTACTCCCTCTCTCATAATGATTTGAAGTCAATGCAACAACAATAAAAAGACCAGCAGACAAAAATGTAAATTAAGGCAGATGTTACAGTTTTGCACTCATATATTTTTAAGAACTTTTTAACAATTTTCACGAAAAAAAGAACTACTAACACAATGTTCAGTACTATTTTACTTGTTTCAGTTCCTGGATGCGATTTGGCATACCTTATTTGTATCTTTGTAAAAATTCTGGAGGTATATCCTTAGTTTGCTTTCACAGCTCATGTACTCGATTTTACGGACTTTGATACTAATTAAGCTGTGCTTTTAGTTGATTTCGCAAATTTTCTTTGAGATTCATGTACGCGGATTGTGGAGGTCATTTCAAATTAGCAAATTTTTGCTTTTGTATCCAGGCTTTGCGAAGATATGTAGTGTGTTTTGAGTGATTTTTCAGCAGAAACTCTATTTTTTTTTTACTAAATCTTGCAAATTTTGTTGAAATATGAACAGATACTGTTCCTTACGTATTATGCGTACTAACGGACCAACAAAATTTTTTAAATACAACCCCAAACAATTAAGATCCTACCACTGTGATTTACAGTTTGCCTTACATGATGCGCATGGGCTTAATTTGGGTCTTTGATCCAATACCATGCCCGGCGATCTGATTGAAAGCGATTAATTTAGTCTTGTCAGACCAAATAACCTTCTATTGAAACTGAAAAATATGTTTTTTATTGCACTCTGAACGGCCTAACATATCCCAATAGGCAAC